AACTGCGTGGTCCTTTTTTTTTTTTTTTTTTTAAGTTTATTTCTTCCGTGAATGAGAGAACAAGACAGGCACCTCTAGTTGGTGGTCTTCATGTTGTGTTCCGCCCCCAGCCTCAGCCAGCCTGGATTCTGGGCACGCACATGCTTGGGACATGCAGGGAGGTCTTGGGTCACAAACCTAGAGCCTTTCCCTGTGAGTGCAGTACTGCAGAGTATCTTGTTAGCACCATGCCAGCATCCTGCCCTCCATGTGATTTCTGATTCTCACAGCACAGATGAGGGTGGTAAACGAGGAGCCTGGAGAACTTTCCACTTGGCTTTCCCTTTGGGGGTGTCGAGAGGCGTTTATGAGCAGAAAGGCTGATCTGAACACAGACCGTGCCATACGCTCTTTCCTATGGACCAGCTCGGTGGTTTCAAATTCAAAACTGTCTAGGAGCTTCTGCTGAAGATAGTGTATGCAAAACTTGGCTTTGTGTGAAGGGCTGTATAAAGGGAGTGCAAATACCAGACTGTCTAGAGCCTGTCCCACTGTGATCTACATCTGCTGCTTGACTCCAGAAGGATTTGCCGTGACGAGTGTCCCATCTGTCCTCTGCTGGAACAGACTCCTGTCGAGTGTTGCTGGAATAGGGTACCTGGGTGACTCTGTTTGTGGCTGTTTCTAGGCGCTTTAAAGATGAGCAGATTGACATCCTTGTGGCCACAGATGTGGCAGCCCGGGGACTTGACATTGAGGGGGTCAAAACGGTGAGCAAGCCCTCTCTTCCTTCAACTTGGGTAGGAAGCTTTACCTTCTGGTGGGCCTCCCTTCCTCTGCCAGATCTTCCTGATGCTTGATCTTGACCTTCCAGGTAATCAACTTCACAATGCCCAATACCATCAAACATTATGTCCACCGCGTAGGGCGTACTGCGCGTGCCGGCAGGGCTGGGCGCTCCGTCTCTCTGGTGGGAGAAGAGGAGCGGAAGATGCTCAAAGAGATTGTGAAGGCTGCCAAGGCACCTGTGAAGGCCCGGATACTTCCCCAGGGTGAGTAGGCTCCACTGCACCATTGTAGGATGGTTCAATGGGCAGGGCAGTCTCCTCTTCGGATTTTTGGGCATGCATGCACATGCACCCAACGTGATTCTCATGCTGCTGAGTCCAAGACTCAGACCACACACTTGGCCATGTGGGAATCCAGTGCCTTAAGCTCCGTATTACCTGCTGGCCCAATAAAAAAAATTATTTTTTTTAACTTCTAAAAATTTTATTTTTTGGGTACCAGCCATTGGTGTAATGGCTATGTTGCTGAACTCTCATGTAGATGACCATGGGTTCGAGTCCCAGACCCGGTGGTTTAAACTCACGCCTTGCACGTTCTCTGGGGAAGCTGGAGACATGAGCAGCTAGGAGTGGACATGAGTGGGACAGGAGTAGAGGTGCCACTTTAGAGAAGCTGTTTAGAGAAGACCTGAGGAGCTGGCACTGAGCTAGGTCCCAGATGATGAGAATGAGGCGTCCAGGAGATCTGGGGGCTGAACTGGCCTTGCCGAGAACAAGAGCAAAGGCTCTGAGGTGGGAACAAGCTGGATGTGTCCGTAATAGGAAGGTCAAGGGGCCCAGGCCTGCAAGCAGAGGACTTGGCAGATCAGAGAGGGAGACTAGGACACTGTTAGGGGTTTACAGTTCCAAGGTGGGTAATTAAGCAGAGCAGTTACATGTTGAAAACCACGGTTTCCTGGTTTAAATTCACAGCTGCATTGTTTTCATCGTCTGCACAGTGTTACTCTTTAAAGACTTGTACCTTTTTGTTGTTAGAGATTTTCACTATTGGGTGCATGGGCTTGCCAGAGAGACCATCTCTCAGGGATGAGCACAACACAATCCGTTGTCCTCCATTCTCTTCTTGGGATTTTGGGCATACATGCACACATGTCTGATGTGAGTTTCAAGCCACTGTAAGACTCAAACTGTAGTCGGCAATGTGGGAGTCCAGCACCCTAACCACTATGCCACCTGCTGGCCTCTTTACACTTATCTTTAAGCCCTCTTTATTCTCTTCCCTCCAGATGTTATCCTCAAATTCCGGGATAAGATCGAGAAAATGGAGAAGGACGTGTATGCGGTACTGCAGCTTGAGGCAGAGGAGAAGGAGATGCAGCAGTCCGAAGCCCAGGTGCGGCTGTAGGGGGCTCGGCCGCATGCACTTGTCCCCGCTGGTGCTGCTCCCCGGAGTGTTTACAGCCCAGCAGAAGCCAGGTGTTTGCAGGCAGTGGCTTCCCGCTGCTGCCATGATATGTGTTAGTAGGTGGGGTTCATGGCAGGCACCCTTTTGCTGTCCCTACAGATCAACACTGCAAAGCGGCTTCTGGAGAAGGGGAAGGAGGCCCGGGACCAGGAGCCTGAGAGGAGCTGGTTCCAGACCAAGGAAGAGAGGAAGAAGGAAAAAAGTAAGTCAGGGAGTTTCCTTAAAAAACTCAACATAGGGGACCAGCAGTTAACGTAATGGCTATGTCGCTGGACTCCCGTCTAGTCGACCATGGTTCGCGTCCCGGACCCGGTGGCTTAAAACTCACGCCAGGTGCGTGTGCGTGCGTGCCCAAGATCCCAAGAGGAGAATGGAGGAGAAGGGATTGTGGCGTGATCAGCCCCCCTGAGGGTTGATTTCTTGCTTTTTGTCTGTCTCTCTCTGTCTGTCTGGCGAGTGCACGCGCCCTGTAGTGAAAATCTCTCCAAAAAAAAAAAAAACTTGACATAGATTTATCGTGCGACCCAGCAGTTCTACTCCTAGAGGTAGACCTGTCTTAGTCTGCTGTTGTGTTGCTAACAAATATCTGGGGTTGGCAATGTGTAAAGAAACAGGAGTTTATGGGACCAGCAGTTAGTGTAATGGCTATGTCGCTGGACTCCTATGTAGTCGGCTGCAGTTCGAGTCCTGGACCCAGTGGCTTAAACTCACACGAGGCGTTTGTGCGTGCGTGCCCAAGATCCCAAGAGGAGAATGGAGGAGAAGGGGTTGCAGCGTGGCCATGCCCCCAGGGGGTGATTTCTCATTTTCTGTCTCTCTGTCTCTCTCTTTCCGGCGAGCGCATGTGCCCTATAGCAAAAACCTCTCCCAAAAAAAAAGAAACAGGAGTTTAGGGGTTGACGGGTGGCATGGTGGTTAAGGTGCTGGTTTCCACATGGCCCACTGTGGTTTGAGTTCAGACCCTGTGGTTTCAAGAGCACACCAGGTGTGTTTGTGTGTGTGTATGCGCGCGCGTGCCCAAAATCCTGAGAAGAATGGAGAAGGAATTGCATCTCCCTCTGGGGGTGATTTGTCATTTTTCCTCTCTCTCTGGCAAGCCCATGTACCCTATCACAAATATCTATTAAAAAAAAAAAAGAAGAGAGAAGAAGTTTATTGACTCAGTTCTGGGGCCTGGGAAGTCCAAAGATGTGGGCCTGCCATCGGGCCAGCCTGCGGTGTGGCTGACAGAAGCATGGAAGATGGCAGGTGTGTGCAGAGCGAACAAGACGCAGGCCCCTTCTCACAAGAGCTAGAACTCCCTGCGTCTCAAGAGTCATTCTCCTCTGGTCATGGGTGCGATGCCGCTATGATTCTGTCACCGTGATCACCACTGTCTGCTACCCGCTCCCAGCACCACATTCCAAACCGTAAACTGTGTGGGGAGGTCATCGTGCAGACCATCACAGCACCCAAAAGAACTGAACATGGGGACTCTGTGTTCTTGAAGCAATATTCATAGGCCTGCCACAGAGGAATGGACAGAGGAGATGTGGTGTGCAGCTTGTGTACACGATGGGGCCTTAGCCAGAGCCACGCTTCCATACGTGCAGCAAGGACAAGCATTGAACTCGTTATGCTGATTGAAATAATCCAGCCGCAAAAGGAAACCATGGTGTGACTCCACTTCGGGAGGTACTTAGATGAATGAATTTAGGAGACAAGGAGATTAGAGAAGACCTAGGGCTGGGAGAGAGGAGATGTGGGGGAGATCGCCCAGTGCTTATGGAGTCTGTGTGTGATGAGGACAGCGAGTGACCTTCCTGTTTGGAGTTCTGGAAACAGGAGCAATGGCTGGGCAATATTGTCAGTGTTAATTAATATCACTCCATCATATTGAGAATGAGTAACATGGCACATTTTATATCATATATTTTACTACTATAAAAAATTATTTTTAAAAGATTAGGAGAGGGACTAGCAGATGGCGTAATGTTTATATTGCTGGACTCCCACGTAGTTGACCACGGTTCAGATCTTGGATCCGGCAGCTTAAATTCATGCCAGCCACACGTGTGTGTATGTCCAAAATACCAACAGGAAAATGGAGGAGAAGGGATTGCAGTGTGGCCATTTTCCCTGGGGGAGCGGTTCTCACTTTCTGTCTTTTGTCTCTCTGGGGAGTGTATGTATGCACCCTATAGCAAAAATCTCTCTAAAATAAATCAAGAGATTTTTTTTTTTTCAAGAGGTTTTTGCTATAGGGCACGTGTGTTCGCCAGAGAGGCAGAGAGATAGAAAGTGAGAAATCACCCCCCCTGGGGGATGGCCACGCCATAATCCCTTCTCCTCCATTCTCCTCTCAGGACCCGCACGTCGGGCGTGAGTTTACGCCACTGGGTCCAGGACTTGAACCGTGGTCAACTACATGGGAGTTCAGCAACATAGTCATTATGCTAATTGATGGTCCCGGCAGGAGATATTTTAATATCTCTTCCCTCTATTTAAATAATTAAAAACAGTATTGAATTCATATTGATCTATACTTTAGTTTTTTAATTTGATTTTTTATTTTATTTGTAGCTTGGAGATCATTTTATTCAGACATACATATAAACCTTTTTTTTTTTAAATAGGATTATTTAATTTTACTTATTCATTCATTTATTTAGATTTTACAAGAGAGAGAGAGAGGGAACCAGCAGTTAGCGTAATGGCTATGTCGCTGGACTCCCACGTAGTCGACCGCGGTTCGTGTCCTGGACCCGGTGGCTTAAAACTCACGCCGGGCGCATGTGCGTGCGTGCCCAAGATCCCGAGAGGAGAATGGAGGAGAAGGGATTGCGGCGTGACCATCCCCCCTGGGGGGTGATTTCTC